AAACTGTGGGGCTTCCTGCTCTTCACTCCTGGGGGGCAGTGGAGGGAGCAATGGGATTTCTGTTCCATTTGTGGAGTTGGAGAGATATTAGTCTGCTGTGGAACTGGTGTGAGCAATAAGGACTCAAGAAAAAGTTACTCACTGCATGTTTGTCTTTGACCTGTAATAGTTACAGGTTGGGTTTTTATCAGGTGAGGGTAAGTCTCTGTACAGCTAGTTCCCAGTGACTTCCACTGTCTTTAGGAGCTATTGCATTAGCAGCTTTCAGAGCAGGTTAGGAGGCTTGTGAGTTTGAGCAGAAAACCACTCAACTTTCAATTGCTGTACAGTTTGCACTGAGAGATTGTGCTTTACTAAGTAGACGTAATACAGTTTGTGATTGGCATCAGAATATGCTGAGACATTTTAATTAACGATGAATGATAAATAATGCTAAATGCTGTATCAGATTGCAAAATATCTTGTAGGCTTCCTGTTCGTGTGCTGCTCAGTGTATACTTGATGGGCAGGAATTTGTTTATCACCGCATTTTTTTTCACATCAATCTCTAAATGTCCTCTCCTTTCTTTTGTCTTCTGTTGGGCTTTGAGATCAGTTTCTCATCACCAGACTTCTTTAAACATCCTTATTAATGACAGCATTACTTATATTTACATTTAGGCTCTAGTTCTGGCTCTTCCCTCTGTCTTGTTTTGTCTTTTCCTGATACGCTTCCCCTTCTGGGCTTGGAAGACCTTTCCAGTCAGCCTTAGCCAAACTTAATTTCTTTCTCACTTAAGCCTGACCCTCCTGTTCTGTGAACCTGTAGCTTCTACTCCTGCATTTCTAATGAGAAAAATCAGGAGGGAATTGTTGTAATCAAACTTAGTGCTGTGTATAATACACACCAGAGTACTTCACAGCATTATCTGAAATAGAAGCTATATTCCAGGGAGGAGTCAAAGATTTCTTAATAAAAAAAAAACATAACCAAACCCCACAAACAAAAAAACCCCAGCTCCCAACCCCTCATCATAGTGGATTTTTTTTTTTCTTAACAATATTGTAACTGTTCTCTAATACAGAGTGGGTGCCTTATTTCCAATGTGAACCTCCTCTTCTGGCCACTAGATTATGGGAGGTGTTTGTCTTGCAAATTGTTGAAGCTCTTTGTGTACATAGAGCACAAATGTATTTTGAAACTACATTTAAGCAGAGATCAAACTATGTTTGGATGTATTCTTAACTTCCCCAGTTACTCTTAAACTAGTATGGGAGCTGGCTCAGAAACTGGCAGCGTCGGGAATCGTGCTGGTGTTTTGGAACAGGATGATGGGTTTGTAAAGCACACGCTCTTGTGTAGATTGTGTCTTGGTTCCGGTTCAGTGGAATTAGGTTTCAGTTAATATCTAGCAGTTAACGTATTGCTGGATTGGGAACAGGCCACTCTGTGCAAAACGGTCATTTTCCCTCTTAGGCGAAGGATGAGGCTCTGACCTACTAATCTACTGTTTCAGTGTAACACAGTTGGTGTGAGAAAATTTGTCTACATCCAAAGGCAGTGGAGGTCTTAACTTAGCAAGTGTGTCACACGCTTAACTGAGATCCTTGGGATCGACTGCATTTTGGCATCAGACTGCTAAATTCAATGCAGTATCTACCTTCTAACAGAAAGTGTTTCCCTCACTAGTGAAATTCCCATGACTTCTGCTTTCAAAGTGGCTTCGTGCTTAGCTATGGGTTTCTTTCTGGGCATCTGGGTATTTGGTTGCTCCGTGTCAGGCTTTCTGAGCCAGAATGCTGGAGGATTTTGAACGCAGCACGAAGCAGTGTGTGAAAAGGCAGCTTGGCTTTGTTCTTCGTATCCCGTGGTGCTGTGCTTTATGAAATTGCAATCGAGTCAGGAATCAGTACCTACCTTTCAAATTTACTGATCTGTGATCTTTATTGTGTTGTGGTGCCAGTACCAAACCTTTTTTTTTTTTTTCCCTGCATAAACAAAGTGAGGATGATCCAAATAACACTTTCTCCAAAAGGAAGGTGTCTCTTGGGTTGCTTGTCTGCTGTTTCCTGAACTGAGCACTCTGCTCACGGCCTTTTTGCTGTTCTCCTTTTTGTAGAAGACTGGCAAATTCCTCCACTTCTTTAAACACCTCAGTGTGAAAGTGGTTTTTAAAAAATGTGCTTAAAAAGTGGCAGGCTGGAGTGGGATCAGATATAGCATGGGTGTGAATCAGCCCTTTCACAATGAAGGCTGGCTCTGTGCATGCCCTCTTGTCTGTCTAACCCCCACCCCCTTTTCTGGGTTAATTACAACCTTTAACTTGGCTAAATACAGGATTTTTTTGACCGAATGAGTTTAAGCACCATATGATCTGCCTCCTCATGTTCCTTGAGCCCTTTGCAGGAGAAGGGAAATGTTTTTGAACAAAGTCTGCTAACAGAGTTGTGGGTGGAAAGAGGACAAAACGAGGACGTGAAGAACCACATATTTTCGCTGGACTTCTAAAACAAGTGACAGTTTGTTCTCCAGATAAAGGCACATTTGAGAGGAAAAACCTGAACAGTGAAAGTGGAGGGGGTTTTGGTAGGTTATTTTTTTTTTGGAGTCACAAAAAATCTTGTCCAAAATAAGGAGCATCGAGGCTTGTGAGCACGTACTCTTAAAATATGAATACGTGACAGGCTGAATCCCTGGTGAGTCCTCGTGACACACAACAGAGGATCTTTTTCTTAGACACTATAACCTAAAGGAGAGATTTCGGTGAAGGGGAGTGTACTCTTACGTCTGCGGTTTTACAATTTCCTTTGGCAGAGAGATAATCTTGCTCCCATGCAGGAAGTCCAACATATGTCGAAACAACCTCAGTTACGGCTGGGTGAAACCTTTGGTGAACTAATTAAGACCTGTGTCAAAACTCACTAAAGATAAGTGTTTCCATGCTTGGTCAGGGTAAAGGAAGGCTGAACACTGCTAAGAGTATTCTTGCATAAAATGTTGGGGGGATGTTATGCAACTTAATTTCTATATTTTTTAATTTTCCATATTTCTATTCTATTTTGTTAATGTCTACTGTGTTAAGATCATATCTGCTGCAAATAGCTTGAACAAAGCAAACTTTTTTTGAGGAAGAGGAAGCTGGAGGTGCTGTTCAGGGCAGCTGGGCAGTTGGTCTAATCCCTTGCTGCTGACAAAGGGGTTTCCTCCCCCATTCACAAATGTGTTTTCCTTCCTTCTTCCCCTCCTTTTCCTCTTAATTGGCTCTGAAACTCATCTGTTCAGAGGTCCGTTTTTTTTTTTGTGGATTTAGTGGTGGCTAGGTGTACACCATGAACATTGATGCTGGTGGGTTGGAGAAGGTGGAAAGCGTGCGGCTGGACAGAGTGGGGAATAGTGACTCTCCTGACTGCAGCAAGCTCTTAGAAGAACTCAGCACATACTGTTTCCCCACAAACTAAGGCGCACCGCACACCCGTGTAATTGTTTCCTGCGCAGTTTGAATTGTCCAAACCAAGCCCTTCCACGTGATGACCAGATTTGAACCTTGCAGCTTTTTTTGCTTTCATGTGAGAATCCAAAACTAAAATACTTTGCTAAGTGAAAGCCTGTCTGTGTGATTGTTTTCACCAAGAAATTCAAATAGGATAGTTAATAAAATAAGTTTTAAAGACAGAGAAGCTTTTTGTCAACCTGAACCTTTTGATGAAAAGGAAAAACCAAAAACCTCCGTTGTATTTTTCTGCTTGCTTAAAGAATTTACAAGGCGGAACCTGTAATTTCCCCATTGACCAAATTAATGAGTAAGTTTCTCAATTCTTACTATTCTTCAGATACAAAAATGTTTTCTCTTACAGTTATTTTTGGTTGCAAGTTAGGAAGAATGAACTTTCAGCTTTTCTAAACTAGCTGAGTTAGTACTGAGATGTTCTTTCCCTGTAAGCTTACTGTTCAAAGACAATTAAGGCCGGAATTTGTGCTTTGCAGTCGTGCCCGCTTTTCTCATTCTTAAAGAACGTATCAGTACTGCTGACATTGCTTTGTGTCCATAGCTGTAAAAATCCTACCAGCCTATCCAGTCATTAAACCATAGAAACCCAGGTCTGAAGGGGCTAAATAGGACAGGCCTGGAAAACAGGCTTAGACATCCCATAATGGAGCAATAAAAATACAGTTGTGAGAAGACTGTCTTCAGTCCAGATGTGCATACAAAGAATACAGTACCCAATATATCATGAAAACAGGACCTTGCACAAGAGGCGTGTTACTAGTCATTGATTCCGTTTATTCCTGGGCGCAATTCAAAGAGGTGGTTTGCTCTATAAAGTGTGGTTTGTCATGCAAGATGATGTAATTCACACCATGGTTGGGAGAGAGACTAAGCCTGATGTTTCTAGGGAAGGATCTATGCTATTCCAGTTTTGTACTCAGCAAAGAAGTGACTTATTGTCAGAATTCAGCCTCATTTGTTCTCTATTTAATAATTTCCACTTCTTTCTTTTAGGGCAGTGTCATCCCTTAATGTATTAGATTTTTCTTGCTGTTCTTCTGCATTGAGTTTGTAAGAGCTGAAAAAGAGAGTCTAATTTTATCAAGCTTGTTACCTTCAGCTTGTGAGTCCTGGCAGCCCCCTGCTTTTTCCATTTCCCCCTCCTGCTTCTCCAGTACTCAGTACTAAAACAGCTGTAGCATCAGTATCTACTTAAAAACCTTCCAAGAATCCTGTGTTTGTACACTTTACATTTTCACTTCTTCAAATAACTTCTCAGTTACTTGTGATCACTGGGATTTTGCAGCCCACCTTGAGGATCTGCACCTCTGAAAGGCTCGTGTGTGTAACACGTGCATCGTTGCCTCTGCTTTCCTGCCGCAAAGGCTTCAGCTGCTGACTCTGAGCGTGACCAGCATTGCTTCCCCTCACAATAAATTCCTTGGACTTGTATATTAAGTGATTATAAAGTACACTTAGCTGTGAATCAGTTTTTCTCGTTAAAATTAAGATGTTTAACTCTGTTTTCTCTAGGCTCTGTTTTGGATATTATAAAGCACATCGTGGCCAAAGGAGAACACAAGACTGGTGTCCTGGATGAACCCTGTATAGCCACGATCCTTAAGGAGGTGCTGGAGGGGCTGGACTACCTGCACAAAAATGGACAAATCCACAGGTATTTTTCATTTTTTCTCATCTTTGCCCAAAATGTGTGTTGCTGAAACAGCAGCTGAGGATACGCAGTCTCATCCTACAGCCAACTGTGGGGGCATGGAAAGAGGAAAATAAAGGTGGGAGCTTAATCAAAACTCAGAATTCAAATGTCTTTATAGTAGCTGCTACTTTAGGAAATACTATGACTAGGCCAAGTTTGGGCATAAACTTTGGGATATTGAAACCTTTATAGGTTTGTATAGATACATAGAACCTTTTCCCAAATGTCTATATCCCGTTGCAAAGTGTAGTTGTTGGAGCTGGAAAACTTTGGTTTTGTTTCTTGCAGAGCTACAAATCACCAAGAGTACTATATAAGGAGTGTTGAGCAATTTCATAAGGAGCCTTTCAAGCCCTGTTCTTTCTTTTTTAAGGCTGGCTGCAAGATCAACATAATGAAATTTGAATTTGGGTAATGTCTTTAAAAAAAAAAAAAAAAGAAACAAAATTAGTGGAAAAACTCCTTCTGTAGGCAAAACCCCGTTAACTAATGGCCTGTGATTTGATGGATCACTGAAATGTGTGGGTTTCTTTGCTGCTGTGTTGTTTGGGCAGTGTTTTTAAATCATGTTTTCCGCTCCCCTGGTGTCAAGGTGTGGCATAGTTCAGGAAGAGAGGATACTAAGTCAGTAGGTTCTGCTGTTAAAAAGAATAAGATTTGCAATCCTAAATATGTGCTGAAAATAGAATATACTGCTTGTGGGTAATGTACATCATCCCAGCTACAGACTGCTGCTGGGAACAGCAACTTCTTCTTTCTTGGGGATTTTGTGAGCTTGGCTGTCTTCTGGTACAATGCCATTAAAAGCATTGCTGCTGCTGTGCTGGAGTAAGTTTCTGTCCTCTTACGATAGCTGCATAAGAAGAGGTAATTCTTTTTGCCAAAATGTCATTTTAATTAGAAAACCCAAGAAGTATTTATTTCATATTTTTGGTCAAACTGACTTTTTTGTAGGTTGTTTTGGGTTAAAAAGGAGGAAATGGTTGGAAACAATTCTGGTGGAATTCTTTTGCCTGAAATAAGTCTCAAATTTCAGTTTCCAGTCTCTCTTAAAATTCTGATTTAACAAGAATTGTCTTCATTGAAGACAGTTTGGATTTCACAGCTGGGTGTTTAACTTTGTTTTTTAGAGATAAGACTTCACGTAGCTCTGGGAAGTTTAAGTAACAGACTAGTTACTGAGTACCTGGTGATTTTTCACCCTTGCCATAAGTAATTTACAAAACCATGCTCATCTGTGACTTGCAGTAGATTTGCTTGACTGACTTAGTTCATCTTCTGGTCTAATGAAATTGAAATAGATATGTTAAAGCAGCAGTAACCTGTTAAATTCCAGTTTTTCTGAAGATGTCGCAGTGATTTCTATATTGAAATAGAGGTGGTTCTCCACTTGACTTGTGCAATGAAACAGCAAAACTATTAATTGTGGTAAAGGTTATGAAGGATATATTCACGTGTTGGGGTTCTTACTGCACTCAGCAAAAATGTGATGTTCACAGAAAATTCAAACTGCTTGGTCTGACGAAAATGTGATTCATATTGAATCATCTGGAAGCAGACTGAACTGAACCTGCTGCAGCCATTCTTGTCCTGCTCGTTTGAAGCATTTTGCCCTTATTTAGGGGACTTCAGCAAAGAAATCAAAGCTGTGTCATCACTGCAGTTTAAGATTGTGGTTGTGCGTCAGCTACTTTGCGTGTGTTGCATCCCTATATTTTGGGGCTGCTCCAACAATTGCATAATGTTTTATCAGAAAAAAAGTGTTTAGATTACCTCATTGTGTGGTCTGGGAAATTTGGAGAAGTGGTAATAGTCATGATACAGAAGGAAAGTTGTGTAGTTTCCTACCTGTGGTGCAAAGGATGGGTTTTTAACTATTGGCAGAAAGCAAGCTTACATGCCTTTGAGGGGTGAAACATGTTTTCTTAATGGAGTTAATCATGCTGTCTTGCATTTATATCCAGATGTGTGTACACTGCTGAGAAAAACACACTTTAAGGTTGTAGTGCAGATGGGACCTTTCCGCGTACATAGGAATTATCTGTATGGCTTTCCCATTTTCCTTAACGCTAGGGGTCATAATATTGGTCATGCCTGATGGGAAAGGCAGGTGGAAATCTTGCTGTTGTGCCAGAGATGCTCTGAGAGGAAGTGTTTAAAATAACTAAACTTTGGTCCCTTGGGTCAGCTTAAAGTATCTGGCTCTAAAGGAAACCGACTGCATCAGGTGATGGCTGAAGAGCTGAATATAGTGTCTGCAATGTGGGGCAGCTGCGGTTGGGGTGAGCTTCAGGCCAAACCAAGGACAGCTGGGAAGGGTCTAAATTGAAGGGCTTAGGTTAGACCTGGAACAACCAACCCAAAGCATGCAGTGAAGTGTTCTGCTGGTTACACTAAATATCCCGACTCCATTTGTATTGCATTTAAGAGAAAATCACTCGATCAAGTTAGAGGCGCAGTACGGGTGAAATGAATGTAATTAGCACATCTGAAGTTGGACAGCCAGGCTGGTGGCAAAGCCTGAAGGATGAATATCTGGAACCAAATGTAATTTTGTGGGAGCTGTTGACCTGAAGCAGGGACAGCTTGTTACTGCTGTAAATTATCAGTGAGATCAGAGAATATATGTCTGACAGTGGAGCTGCTCAATACTTTTAAATTATGCATCATCTTAAATGGGTAAATTAAGTTAACACATCGAAGACTGGCTTAATGAAATGCTGCTGCTGCTGAATCTTACTCTGCATAAGCCTGCCTTGAACTTAATGCCACTTCCAATTAAGGTTTGGGGAGCTGGCTTCGCATGGAAGTGTAAATCCCCTGCTTTGGAAAGGAGAGTAGCTTGACGGTATTCTCTAGAGGAGATTAGAAAGCCAAATATCTAGTCAAGTCTTAAATTAGAATTTTTTTTTTTTGTTTACTTTCCTAATTAACAGCCAGGGCGAGGCTGAGACTTGAATGGATTCCATTGTTCAACAACAAATGCTTAAGTCTCCCACATTGTCCAAAGTGCTATTTTTTTGCATTCGTCTTGCAAGGGCTGTTGGGAACAGAGTCTGAGGCCCTATGGAAAAGACAAAGGAGAAGACAGAATCAGTTTTATTTTCATGAAACACTCTACCAAGGTGACGATTACAAATGATCCCTGTCTTCTTCCAAAATCACCACTGCCTCCCATATCTCAGAGCTGGCAGCTCTCTGCCTGCATTGCCATGTGCCTGTCCCTGGTTGTTTCTCCCGTGTCAGCTGCCGCCATCCACGTTGTGGTTTGTTTTTTTTTGGTGTAGCACAGTGATCCCAATGGCAATTTGAAACCCTAGCGATCTGGATCATGTTAAGCGAGTTAAATACCTGGGCATCAGCCAGTGTGTGGAGGACGGAGGGCTGGACTCGGAAACCTTCGGATGAAGCTATCCTGTAAGAATCTGCTCAGACATTTGGTTGTGTGTGGGTTTTTTTTTATGGAAGTAGAGCAAGACTGATGTGCTGCAAGGGGTTGCTCCTGCACTAATCTTGCCTGGGTGACACACAGGGTATGTTGCACCTCTTCCCCATTTGGACTCTGATTCCTCTGTGTATTTGGGGATTAGCAGGAGTTTGATGAATGACATGGAAATAAAACTAAAGCAAAAGCAACCCAAGAGGTTTTATTGCTTAAAGGGATTTGTTGGAGGGAAGTTCAAGGCTTTTTCAGGTGGTGCTCTTTATGGCAGTCTGACAAATGAATCATGCTGATTAACTGTTACAAGGTCTCTCTGTCTTTCTCCCTATTTTTATCTCTGAGCTTATCTTCTGTTCATGATTAGCTGTTGTGTAACTGAATATTTCAGTTAGTCCAGGTGAAATGATACACTGCTCGAATATAATCAGATTTTTGTATTGTGGCATAATAAATGTGATACTCGCATACTTTTTTTGGTAAAAACAAAAAAGCTTAGGAAGTGGTTTAGGGTTGCATGTGCTAGAAATATTGGCATGGCAGTGATCCAGGTATTAATTTGTTTGCTGCCCTACTTCTTAGGGGGTGAGAGGTGCAACAGCACATTTGATATGTTGAGTTAGAGCAGCATGTGCCCCCATACAGAATGTTTTGGCTATTGTGGTGTCTTTTCAAAATCAGTTTTCTGAGTGTAGAGCAGCAGGGTGCTATGGCAGCTGTTTGAATGTTGCTTTGGTGAGTCCCTGGAAACAATATTCTTGCTGTGTTTTTATGCCAAATATATTAGCTTGTATTTTGGACCTTAGGATGGTTTTGACACAGGATCAAAGTTTGTCTGCCTCTTCTACATATATTAAGAGGAAAAAGAATTCTGAAAAAAAGGGCGTCTGTATGTGAGCACATACACATCACCAACACTTGTGTGTGGGGTTTTGCTGGAGTGCTCCTTCAGTAGCAAGTTTCAGATTTAAGATGAAGGAGCTGATGGATATATTTTGGCAGAACTCAGCTGTCCTACAGGATTCAAGCCTAATTTTCATGTAGCTGATTAATGCATTGATAGCTGTGCTGGCAGGTATTGTGGTTAAACTGGATTCCAGTATGCCTCTGATTATTTTGACAACTGAAATACTGTACTTTCTTCTTTCTCTAGCAATACTGTAGAACTTCACAGCCCTCCTCTCCACAGTGCTATAATCATGTTTTGGGGTGTGTGTTTTGGAACTGAAGTTTGGTAGGGGAGGTTGAGGGATGGATAATGGGATATGGAGCCCTTCACCTCTAATTACCAGTTTGATTTTTTTTTTTTTTTTTTTTAAGTCAGAACACTGGTAATTTGAAAGCTAGCTATTGCTTAGCTGTGGAAAGTGGAATTTCATATTCAGAGAAGTGTACTTTAGTCTCTTCTCCCTTATAGTACAGGATGTGCAGAAGTAGCCTTTACAGGCAGTTGTTAATATAAGTTTTAAAGGTTTAAGTTGTAAACAGTTCAGTAGCCAGAACAATAGAATTGTTACTCTTG